TAATCTGGATCCCCTTTTGCTGGTACTCACAAAGCTATGTCAATACCTCGCACAGGGAACAGAAAGCTACCCTGCCTCAGTAGAAACCCCAATATTGATTATTTATCGACAATTATTGATTTATCTATTAAGAGAAATGTGACCCACCCGAGAACTGATTATATCAGTATAGCTCTTTCACTAGTATTGACTTTAGATTTACTGGAGCACCGTGGCCGTTACCAGCACAATAGGCCCACGTATGCCTTCCTAATATCGTCTGTACAACTTTGTATAGGGGAATGAAATTGAGACTTAAATTCATGACTTGGAACATGAGGAATTAAGAGATATTGTGTTGAGTTTCAATCTACTTAGGGAAACCTAAAATGATCCTAGATGGAGTGAATGTCAAATCAAATGGCTCTCCAGGGTTCGAAATACCCCCATATATCAGTGTGCCATGGCACAGTAAATATTGAAATGACACGGCTAAAAAATGTTCTCGGTGCCCTTATTGCACTCCTAATTTTTAAGAGACATGACTCACCTTTAGTCATGTAATCCCCAAAACAATTATTTTTTTCCAAATTGAATAATACCATACATATTTGAATGCTTTTAAACCGATTTCTTTATTTAACAATAAATTTCAAAAGATCATCATCATTGTGATTTATTCTAAAAACGTGGGCATACTCGATTTCTGAAAGACACACCTAAGATATTTGTCTGGTGCCCTAAGGCCCACTTAGAAAAAAAAGTATTTCTATCCCTGCTCTCAAACCATATGCCTTCCTGTAGATCTTTACATGAAATTCTAAATGGAGGGATAAATATTTTAGTTTGATATGTTTATATCAATAACGTGAATCTCATGGGGTTACTCCAAAATGTTAAACATCTGACACCTGCATCCCGTCGGCCATTCCTCCCATATTTAGCCAACACATCATGATATAACATGGATGCATTTAAAGCTCTGTTCATGCTCTCACTCATAAGGTTTTTTTATTATCTATTGGGGGTGGTGGGATAGCCTAGTGGTTAAAGTTGGCTCGTCAGCGCGAATGACACCGGTTCATTCCCCACATGGGCATAATGTTTTTTCTGGTGTCCCCACCATGATATTGCTGGAATATTGCTAAAAGCGGCATTAAACTCAGTCATTATTTATTTGAAGCGTTAAAATTCACATGCTCCATATGGTATCCTACTGTTTTTTTAAATGATGAAAAAGGCCATGTTTTATGTCCTGAAGCTTATCCGTTTAGTAAAGTTTACCTTTTATCAAGTCAGTTTAGTTGCCATTATTATTTTGTTTAAGTAAAGTGAGAATGTTATCTCAAGGAATACTAGTATATATAACTGGAAAACCCAAATGTTCATTGTGTTCAAGTGAAATTGATATTTGGTCAAGTGGATTTTATAAGTTTACTAGACCTGTTTTGAAAACATTTACAACCCCTGAGAAATTGCTGTATTGAGTAGTTTCTGTACAGGGAGTTACTGTATTGAGGAGTTAATGTATTGGGAAGTTAATGTATTGAGGAGTTAATGTATTGGGAAGTTAATGTATTGTGGAGTTAATGTATTGGGAAGTTAAGCAGCTACTGTATCCTGAAGTTACTGTATCAAGAAATAACTGTATCAAGTCACTGTATTGAAAAATTGCAATATCAAGGAGCTTCTGCATAGAGAAGTCACTGTATCAAGGAGTTACTGTATCAAGGAGTTACTGTATCGAGAAGTTACTGTATCAAGGAGTTACAGTGACTTCTTGATACAGTGAGTTATAGTAACTCCTTGATACAGTAACTTCTCGATACTATCAAGAAGTCACTGTATCAAGGAGTTACTGTATCGAGAAGTTACTGTATCAAGGAGCTTCTGCATAGAGAAGTCACTGTATCAAGGAGTTACTGTATCAAGGAGTTACTGTATCAAGGAGTTACTGTATAGAGAAGTCACTGTATCGAGAAGTTACTGTATCGAGAAGTTACTGTATCAAGGAGTTACTGTATCAAGAAGTCACTGTATCAAGGAGTTACTGTATCGAGAAGTTACTGTATCAAGGAGTTACTGTATCAAGAAGTCACTGTATCAAGGAGTTACTGTATCAAGAAGTCACTGTATCAAGAAGTTACTGTATCGAGAAGTTACTGTATCAAGGAGTTACTGTATCAAGAAGTCACTGTATCAAGGAGTTACTGTATCAAGAAGTCACTGTATCAAGGAGTTACTGTATCGAGAAGTTACTGTATCAAGGAGTTACTGTATCAAGAAGTCACTGTATCAAGAAGTTACTGTATCGAGAAGTTACTGTATCAAGAAGTTACTGTATCAAGGAGTTACTGTATCAAGGAGTTACTGTATCGAGAAGTTACTGTATCAAGGAGTTACTGTATCAAGAAGTCACTGTATCAAGAAGTTACTGTATCGAGAAGTTACTGTATCAAGGAGTTACTGTATCAAGGAGTTACTGTATCAAGAAGTCACTGTATCAAGAAGTTACTGTATCAAGGAGTTACTGTATCAAGAAGTCACTGTATCAAGAAGTCACTGTATCAAGGAGTTACTGTATCAAGGAGTTACTGTATCGAGAAGTCACTGTATCAAGAAGTTACTGTATCAAGAAGTTACTGTATCAAGGAGTTACTGTATCAAGAAGTCACTGTATCAAGGAGTTACTGTATCAAGGAGTTACTGTATCAAGAAGTCACTGTATCAAGGAGTTACTGTATCGAGAAGTTACTGTATCAAGGAGTTACTGTATCAAGGAGTTACTGTATCAAGAAGTTACTGTATCAAGAAGTTACTGTATCAAGAAGTTACTGTATCAAGGAGTTACTGTATCAAGAAGTCACTGTATCAAGAAGTCACTGTATCAAGGAGTTACTGTATCAAGGAGTTACTGTATCAAGAAGTCACTGTATCAAGAAGTTACTGTATCAAGAAGTTACTGTATCAAGGAGTTACTGTATCAAGAAGTCACTGTATCAAGGAGTCACTGTATCAAGGAGTTACTGTATCAAGAAGTCACTGTATCAAGGAGTTACTGTATCGAGAAGTTACTGTATCAAGGAGTTACTGTATCAAGAAGTCACTGTATCAAGAAGTTACTGTATCGAGTAGTTACTGTATCAAGGAGTTACTGTATCAAGGAGTTACTGTATCAAGAAGTTACTGTATCAAGGAGTTACTGTATCAAGAAGTTACTGTATCAAGGAGTTACTGTATCAAGGAGTTACTGTATCAAGGAGTTACTGTATCAAGAAGTTACTGTATCAAGGAGTTACTGTATCGAGAAGTTACTGTATCAAGGAGTTACTGTATCAAGAAGTTACTGTATCAAGGAGTTACTGTATCGAGAAGTTACTGTATCAAGAAGTCACTGTATCAATAAGTTACTGTATCAAGGAGTTACTGTATCGAGAAGTTACTGTATCAAGGAGCTACTGTATCAAGAAGTCACTGTATCAAGAAGTCACTGTATCGAGAAGTCAGTGTATCAAGAAGTTACTGTATCAAGGAGTTACTGTATCAAGGAGTTACTGTATCGAGAAGTTACTGTATCAAGAAGTCACTGTATCAAGGAGTTACTGTATCAAGAAGTTACTGTATCAAGGAGTTACTGTATCAAGAAGTCACTGTATCAAGAAGTCACTGTAATCGAGAAGTCAGTGTATCAAGAAGTTACTGTATCAAGGAGTTACTGTATCAAGGAGTTACCGTATCAAGAAGTCACTGTATCAAGGAGTTACTGTATCAAGGAGTTACCGTATCGAGAAGTTACTGTATCAAGAAGTCACTGTATCAAGGAGTTACTGTATCAAGGAGTTACTGTATCAAGAAGTCACTGTATCAAGAAGTCACTGTATCGAGAAGTCAGTGTATCAAGAAGTTACTGTATCGAGAAGTCACTGTATCGAGAAGTCAGTGTATCAAGAAGTTACTGTATCAAGGAGTTACTGTATCAAGGAGTTACCGTATCAAGAAGTCACTGTATCAAGGAGTTACTGTATCAAGGAGTTACCGTATCGAGAAGTTACTGTATCAAGGAGTTACTGTATCAAGGAGTTACTGTATCAAGAAGTCACTGTATCAAGGAGTTACTGTATCAAGGAGTTACTGTATCAAGAAGTTACTGTATCAAGGAGTTACTGTATCAAGGAGTTACTGTATCAAGGAGTTACTGTATCGAGAAGTCACTGCACTCACCTTGTGTCACTTCTGCTTGTGTTATCACCTCTGCTACATGACAGAGTCAGTAGTCACGACACAAACTCTCTGACTCAGGTCCAGAATATACTCTCCATGCACGACTAGTTATAATGTCCGACAGTATTGACAGTTACACCACAGCCCACAACATATGAACGTAGTTCTACAGAGTCCTGACACATTATCCCACAGACCTGTCTCCTTCTCACAAGTCGTCAATCTGTAACGACATCGAAGCTCGTCTGACCTCCCTCAATCACAATCCAGGGCCATTCAACTTTGGGCACAGGCCAGTGAAGTGATCGCAATCACAATAGGCAAGCCTGCCACCTTGCTCATTAACACAGCCATTTCAGTGCCTCTCAGTGCTTAATCCTTAGTACAATGACTTAAGCTGGTAATGCTAAGAAGCAGAATATATCCTTTGTATATGTGTGCAAGATACAACATGTTTAGAGATTCAGGGGACACTGTTGGCAGTAGTACAGCTTCTGATTTTTATCTATAATGAAGTCACTTGGAGAGCCCATTAAAGTTGTCACATTTCACTATACAGTGATTTATATATAAAACAATTATGTTTAATAAAAGTTTCTTTCTTGTCATAAATACATGTTCTGTTTTAAGAGAGTAATTATGGAATTTGTGTATGAGAGTAATCAAACCTTGCCATCATGGTTCCCTAAAAGAGCGTTATATCGAGGGAGGTACCCCAGGGTTTATCAGAGAGTCAAGTGTGCCCCCCGTTTCTAAGGTAAACAAAGAGGTGTAAAAGAGCTTTCATGGTCTTTACTTACTTGTCACAGTCTGACGGAGATATATGAAGATAGATCGGGATACACGGGTGTTGTTTACAGGTGATCAATGCCTGTCGATACACTGGCCTCTTACAAAATTAGCCGCGTAACACGTACATGTATTCTGGCTGGTACAACCTGGCACTGTGACATAGCTGCGACACTTACTTCTGTGGGGCAACATGCAAAAATTACTTGGACTCTTTGTTTCCCTTGAAGAAATAAGCAAGTTGAAAGATAAATTTATATGTAAATATAAGTTTATATTTTTAGGCAACATTTCCTTAATTTGTAAAAAGAGAGAAAAAATGTTTAAAAATCCTGTCTATTGAGATTAATAATTTTGATTAATAAATCTGAATATTTATGAATTTAAAGAAAAAGTCTGTTAGCAAGAGAAAATTGAATAATTTGAGTCATGAACATAAACACTGATTACCTCCATTTGTTTTAGTGAGTGAGTGACCTTGGTTTTACACTGCTTTTAGCACTGATAGTTATATATATAATATATTTTAGAATTTTTATCTCCCTGCAATATGTTGAAAGTGTGTAAATAAAACTAAAAAGTCATGACAACATATTATATTGCCTAATTAATAATTCAAATGATTATTTAGCCCTACCTCTTAATATGAGCTATTACACCTTTGAGTGTGTTGTTTTTCGTATGATAACTTTAAATAATGTACTGTTAATATGTGGTGGGTAGCATACCTAGTGACTATGTTTTTTAATCCACCAGTTGAAAATCGGGGCTAGATATTCCGGATCATAACTCCAAAACCTTTGAAGAATTGTTTTTAAGAATGTAAGAATGAAACACATGTTATTCTAATTTCTAGCCTTATAATGATCTGTATGGTTTTTTTAATCATTTTTTGTGTGTTTTGCTTGTTTCTGGAGAAAATGGCAAATCAGCTGACTATTTTTTGATGATCGGATATACAGATCGTTCTAGTTGTCAACCTTTGGATAATTTGAGATTGTTATTTGTATAATGTTGTCAGCAAGGACTGTACTGAAAATGAAAGAGACGTCTCTTGGAACTTTCCTTCCACATCAAGCTGAAAAACTGTAAAAAGTGATGTTTCTCACTTGATATTAAAGATTAATTAAACCCATCTCCCTCATACAGAAAGTCATTCCATTTGAAGAGGGGCGGTTGGTTAAAGCCTTCGCTCGTCACGCCCCAAACCCGGGTTTGATTCCCCACATGGGTACAATGTGTGTAGCCCATTTCTGGTCTCCCCCGCTGTGATATTAATGGAATATGCTAAAAGCCACAGAAACCATTTCATGGAAATAGCAGTAAATATTGAAATTTTAAATTTCTTTAAGCCTACAGAAACTTGAACTTACAGGTCCTTGTGCAGCAGTTTGGATGTCATGTGTAGGTTACATCTTTCTGCAGACAAATTTGTATGACTACAGCCAAACAAGGACTTACTGTTGCCTAAGTAAAAGCTTGGCCCCTGTATATTTATTCTTCAGTCACCGTTTCCCGGTTGTGTCGAACATCGGATAACTCAAAGTTACTTAGGTCTCTTCATCTTCGACGCTGTAATATTGTCATTATCAGAATTTGTCGACAGTCACGTGACTGCCACCTGGCTGATTGATTTTCATCATATGTTTATAGTGCACCTGGGTGTTCATTAAGTTAACCACTGGTTTTCTGCCACCAATAGACTGCCTCCGTGGTGTAGTGGTTAGAGTTTCGCCCGGAGAGCGGAAGGTCGCGGGTTCGATCCCCGACCGCGTCATACCAAAAGACGTTAAAATATGGTACTTGTTGGTCCCTGCCTGGCGCTCGGCATTAATGGGTACAACAAGGACTGGTCGGCTCAGAGTCAGTATAATGTGTCTGAGTGGGGTATTCATGCTTCACTGCGGCATGGTATCTCAGTGGGCTAGCACTATAAAACCAGCTTCAGTCTGGGCTAGTACAAGCAGCCGCACATACACATACACATGCATGCACGTCGTCATATGAGCGAAATATTCTCAAGCACTATGTAAAACCCAATTTCACCTCACCTCACCTCTGCCACCAATACTATCAGGCCTCCAGAAGCATAGCAAGCCAATTTTTCGTGTAAGCCCGATAGGTTGCAAAGCTTTATATTTAGATATTGGGTGCTTGCCCAACCTTTTCAGCATCAATCATGTGTAAGCACAGGCTTTTTTTCATAATGGTCTCTTTGTCTATACTATTACTGCTCAGATTTCTCCCACTCACTCACCAAAGGCCGACAAATGGGGTAAAATCATCATTTTGTTTCAAAGTCAAAATGTCTGTGAGAATCATTCTGCAACTTTAGCCATGATATGCGTTTTTCACATTTTTCGACCTAATGGTTTAAATATGATTTCTCTCTCTCACTGTCCAACTCATTCCTTCATTCAGTTCCTCACTCACTCTGTTGTTTCAGGTGCTGCTTCAAGTGTTGATCATCCTCACTGTCCAACTCATTCCTTCATTCATTTCCTCACTCACTCTGTTGTTTCAGGTGCTGCTTCAAGTGTTGATCATCCTCACTGGCAACTACAACTTCTTCAACCTCCTCACAATCGTCCTGTGCATCTCCCTCCTCGGTGCGCTTCAAGTGTTGACCCTCACTGGCAACTACAACTCCTCAGCAGACGGAAATGTACGACATCTGCATCCACTATTTCTGAACTTACATTAGTAAACCAGGGAAGGATGAGAAACCAGCGTTGGATAAGCACAGCAATTGTTTGGGATTCTGTCATTAGTGTTTCCAGCAGGATCCAAAAATGTGTGAAGCCCATTTCTGATGTCCCCTGCCATGATATTGTTGGAATGTTGCTAAAAACGGCATAAAACTAAACTCACTCACACTCACTTATGGACATGCACAGACACAATATAAGTGCAGGTGTCTTGAAAAAGTCATTAACCATATTTCAACTCTGTCAACAGCTGTCCGTCGCCGTCAGTCCTTCGTGTGGAGCGGTCTGGGCTTTGTGTCCAACTTCATCGTGCCCGTGCTGGTGTACGGCTACATCGGCTACTACACCTACATCCTCTTCGACCTAAAGGTTCAGCCCGACTACACCATACAGTCCAAGACAAGTAGGTCATGTCTGAAGGCAAACACTGTTGTCTCAAAGTAAAAGTTTGGTCCCTGTCTATTCCTTCCTTATCCAACATTTTTCAGATGTATCAAACATCTGAGAACTCCAAAGTATTTCTGCGGAATCCTTCAGCCTCGTGGTGCTCTAAGTGTTGTATGTTTATTGATGTGAAAGAGGTAATGATTTTCTCGATTCAGCTTTCAAGTCCTCCGACCTGAATCGCTGGCTGGAGTGGGTGATGCCATACACCATTTATGTTGGAGCTATTTCCTTAGCTTTTGAAATATTCCTGTCTATACTGAGGTAAGCTGACTTTTTACACAGGACATTGATAATGTGTTTGATCATAGTAGACCACATCCCTGAGTGGATTGTGGGTTAAAATATGTTCAAAGCAAACTTTGTTTTGGTTTTAATTGGTAGTTGCTGCACTTAACAATGTTATAGCTGTGTGATGACTTTATGTAAATGAAGGTCTAGACCAGACAATCCTGTGATTGACACAAGGAAGATGCATTTAAGGAAGGAAGGATAATAATATATGGATGGACAAAGTTTTATTACACTGTGAGCGACATTTTAGTGTAGATTCTAATACTGTTTTCAAGTGATGAGATCCATATATTGTTTTCTTTCTTCTCTAACTTCTTAAATGCTCTCAAAGAAGATATTGCATTTAAATACTTTAATTCCCTTGACATATATTTCAGCTAATAGTTCCATCCTGTTTCAGGTCTTCTGTAGAAGAGAAAGGATTTTTCAGGAAAAACATTGCCACCATTCAGTGTGTCCTGTTCGGAGCAGTAGCAGCGGGCTTGTTCGCCATTAGTCTGGTAGGGGAGATAACTCTTGTATTGTCATAGCAACAACGTGCCTGGTTTAGATAACTGGTCAGTGACATAATGACTTACTCCAACATTAGTTTTCTGTTATATTGATTATGTTATACAAATGATGCATGAATCTTCACATCAGGTAACATGGTGGATGAGCCAGGATTTAGTAGCCATTAGTTAAGTCATCCACAATATATGTATTGGAGCAATTTTTGAAGCAATGAGGTGACGGTTCTTACTGTGGTGTTACTGCTATATGCATAGAAGTCAGACCATGAGCCCAGACTCTTTCTAGTCTTTTCATTCGTGTTTTCATATGTGTAACAAACTATGAATGACAAAGATTGTGTGGAATAATTAAACCGTCTCATTTTGATTACCCTAATATACCTATGAATGGTTTGTCAACATGCGACAATGAGGTGGTAAATCTGAATAACTTGTGTAGTTCAGTAAAGATTTGTTTACTGGGAAAAATGGTCAAAACTCATTGGTCATTATACTATTCTTATATCAATTTTTTAAAAAGTCAACTTTTTGTATCATGTGTGGACGATTTAGCAGTCTAAGTGATCAACAGATGCTTCAGCAACCCACTCCCTTTGTGGAGATTTGAATCGAGCTGATACAGAATAGCCACAGTGTTTGTTTGCAGGTGCCCCATACAGTTATTGAAGGCAAGGCCCACAGGTCCTTGTGGCCAGCAGTCAGACAGTGGCACGGCAGGCTGGAGGCCTTCCCAGGTTACCAACTCTTACGGACTCTTCAGAAGGTAGGAGTGTGTGGATGAATGTTTGTTGTCTAATACTTAGCAACATTCCAGCTATGTAGGAGCAGTAAATAATAGAGTCTGGACCAAACAATCCAGTGATCAACAGCATAAGCATTGATCTTAGCAATTAGGATAGATGATGAATCAACCAAGTCAGCGAGCCTGACCACCCAAACCGTTAGTTACTTCTTAAGACATGGGTTGCCGAAGACCAATTCTAACCCGGATCTTCACAGGTCGAGTGAGTGAGCTGGGTTTGATCTAAAAACACTTTGAATGACATTCCAGTTTTATCAGGTCACAGATCACTTTAGTGAAACGTGGGTATGGTGCATACAAACCTAGAGACATTATTGGGATGGAACAGGGTTTGAGCCCATGATCATAGGTTTTTGGTAACTTTGCTTAGCTGTAAGTGTCATACATATACTACACATAAGATGATAAGAACAACCTGATTCTTTCATATACAGAGTTTCTCACCTAGAGTGTTGGGGTGCAGCTGTTTTCTCCTTAGCTGAAAGTTTGAATCCTAGATTTTTGTCTAACTGTGATCTTTGTTCCATCAGCTCAAAAATATCTTTGAGCTGACAGCCTGTGTGATCCAAGGAACCCTGAAGATCTGTGTTAAGAATTGGTCTTTACCTACCCAGGCTTGTCATAAGAGGCTCAGATTCGCTGAATTAGATCAATGCTTATACTGTTGATCGCTGGAATGTTGCTGAACCTTAAACAACAAACAAACACATGATCAACACATTTTTGGCCTAAATGTTATCAAACATTTTTAAATGTTGGGTAATTCATTACCAAATTCTGAAATCGTACCCACTAGTCATACAGTGGTTTTCCACATGTTCTCAGGATGACGGGAGTTGGAGGTCGGCCTGAGGTTATCATCGAAGGAAGCAACAAGAAAGATGGCGCTTGGAAGGAGTACGAGTTTCTTTATAAACCCGGCGACATCTCGCTCCGTCCCCCGATTGTAGGTAAGTATGTGTGTAAATGTGATGGAGAATCTTGTCATCATGGAGTCCGCCAGGATTGTTGCTTACACCCAACTTAGGTGTTGCTCCTTTCACAGGAACCCGTGAAGGTCCAGGCTAGAATATTGATCTTCAGTAACCCATGCTTGTTGTAAGAGGCGACTGACAGGATCAGGTGGTCAGACTCGCTGACTTGGTTGACACATGTCATCGGTTCCCAATTGCGCAGATCGATGCTCATGCTGTTGATCACTGGATTGTCTGGTCCAGACTCGATTATTTACAGACCGCCACCATATAGCTGGAATATTGCTGAGTCCGGCGTAAAACCAAACTCACTCACTCACTCACAGGAACAATGATTATAAAATGTTAGTTAACAGCAAAGTTGGTGGATAGAACCTCACAGATTTGCCCTGAAACAGACGTACAACCTTTAACAGTTTATGGATGTGGATCCTAACTGCCTCAAATTACATGGGGGTGCGATGGGGTAGCCTAGTGGTTAAAGCGTTTGCTCGTCACGCTGAAGACGTGGGTTCGATTCCCCACACGGGTGCAATGTGTGAAGCCCATTTCTGGTGTCCCCCGCCATGATATTGAATATCACTCACTCTGATGAAACCGGGGGCATACCTGGTTACTTGTCTGATGCATTGTTGCATCATCATGGGAGACATTTATTGTATGTCGTTTAATATACTTTTATATGATGTCTGTAAATAATCCTGTCTGGACTTGACAATCCAGTGATTGACATCATGAGCATCAATGTATGCAACTGGGATACATGCATCAATCAGTGAGTCTGATCATGACCACCTCACCCGTTAGTCTTCTCTTACAACAAGCATGGTTGCTGGAGACCAGTTCTAACCGAGATATTCACAGGTCTAACAGACATACAAAAATATAGCACCGCCTGACCATCTGATTCCGTTAGTCGCCTCTTATGACAAGCATCGTTGCTGAGGACCAATTCGAACCCAGGTCTTGACCGTAGCTGGAGCATTGGCTGCTTCAAATATTTACTGAACATAATCAGACCATTGCCTCACTCGTCCTGGACAATTTTCTGAAATTATTTACCAGGAATCTGAACCAGACTTTATGGATGTTCCCAACCGAGTTAATGCTATGTTTTTTCCAGCACCCCATCAGCCTAGACTGGACTGGCAGATGTGGTTCGCCGCCCTTGGCAACTACCAACACAACGGCTGGTTCGTCAGCCTCGTCTACCGCCTGCTCAACAACCAGAAAGAAGTCCTTCAGCTGCTAAAACGCAATCCCTTCCCCGGCAAACCTCCAAAGTACATTCTGCCACACTGTATCACTACTACTACACCTCAAGCAGCAAGAAAAATGACAGGTACAACAGTTTATGACAAGCATAGCTGGAAGTTGACAGGAAGAAACTAATATTACTGTCATCTATTCTATTTATGGCAGATCACTCACTGGAACCTAGGTTCATCACACTATAAGAAAGGTCTAAGTTTGGTGACCTTGACCTTCATTTCAAGGTCACAAGGGGACTTTAACGTTTTACTGCATGTTAAGCTGTCTCAAGAACCGTTTACTGGAGTTTCTTCATATTTGACACCAAGCTTCATCCAGGGAAGGCGCATGGCCCAGTCGATTTTGGTGACCTTCACTTAATTTTCAAGGTCACAGACGCTTTGAAGATTTCAGCATGTTAAATTGCATGTTAAGATAGTCAGCAAGATATCGCAAAAAATATTCAGTGGATTTTCTTCATATTTGACACCAAGCTTCATCTAGGGAAGGCCCAGGGCCCAGTCAATTTTGGTGACCTTCACATAATTTTTAGGGTCACGAGGACACTTTGAAGATTTCAGCATGTTAACCTGAATTGTCAGCAAGATATTTTAAGAACGGTTCACTGGATTTTGTTCATAGACTTTCAAGACCTCCCTTGAATGTTTTTCAATAAGCAATTTCTTTAGTACTAGTTTTGCATATTTCATACACTATGACATTCATGTCAAGGTCAAAGTCAGTCTTGAAAATATGTGTGTGTTTGAACAACTAAAGAGCAAGATATCAAGAGAGGTTGACTGGTCATGTTTTTGTTGACATTTAACTTCATCTTAAACTTTCATTACTTTATAAGTTTGATTTGATCATTTGTGGCGGGGGATTATGTCACCTTAGTGACAAAGCTTGTTCTATACATGGCATCTAGTTGACTGGAAACTATTATTGATTTTATTCATCGCAGTTAGTATAAAGGAAACTATTATAGATTCTATACATAGCAGGTAGTTGACAGTAAGCTATTGTTAATTCTATGTATGACAATTAGTTGATAGGAAACTATTATTAATTCAATTCATCGCAGTTAGTTGAAAGGAAACTGAATTATTGATTCTGTACATGGCAAATAGTTGACGGGAAACTATTATTGATTCGTAACTTATCTGGCACTTATCAAGATGGTACATGGGAGGTAGTTGACAAGAAAACTGTCATAAGACTACTTACAATACTAAATCGTTTACTGTTGTACACAGTTTTGTTCTGTACATTTTGACAAACCACTGACTTGATTAAATTTTAATGCAGATATTCAGCTAAGAACTGGTGGTTGAGGAAAAAGAAGGCCGAATATCTCCCGGTGATGCATGCAGAGGACCAACAGCTGAAGCAATATGTGAAACAGAGATTACTCTTAGAGGTGAGATGGGGGGAGGGTTGAGGGTGGATGGTATAATGAGGGGCCAGGGTGGGCAGTACAATGAGGATTGAGGGTGGGGTTGGGGGTACAATGAGGGTTGAGGGTGGGCAGTACAATGAGGTTTTGAGGGTGGGGGGCTTGGGGGTACAATGAGGGTTGAGGGTGGGCAGTACAATGAGGATTGAGGGTGGGGGTTGGTGGTACAATGAGGGTGGGGGTTGGGGGTACAATGAGGGTTGAGGGTGGGCAGTACAATGAGGATTGAGGGTGGGGGTGGTGGGGGGAGGTACAATGAGGGTGGGGGGGGAGTTGGGGGAGGTACAATGAGGGTTGAGGGTGGGCAGTACAATGAGGATTGAGGGTGGGGGTTGGTGGGTACAATGAGGGTTGAGGGTGGGCAGTACAATGAGGATTGAGGGTGGGGGTTGGTGGTACAATGAGGGTGGGGGTTGGCAGGGCACAATGAGGGTGGGGGTTTGGGGTACAATGAGGATTGAGGGTGGGGGTTGGGGTACAATGAGGGTTGAGGGTGGGGGGTACAATGAGTGGTACAATGAGGTTGGGGGTACAATGAGGATTGAGGGTGGGGTTGGGGGTACAATGAGGGTGGGGTTGGGGGTACAATGAGGGTGGGGGTTGGGGTACAATGAGGTTGAGGGTTGAGGGTGGGCAGGGCAATGAGGGTGGGGGTTGGGGGCAGTACAATGAGGGTTGAGGGTGGGGGTTGGTGGTACAATGAGGGTGGGGGTTGGGGGTACAATGAGGGTGGGGTTGGGGGTACAAATGAGGGTTGAGGGTGGGGGTTGGTGGTACAATGAGGTTGGGGAGTACAATGAGGATTGAGGGTAGTAGTATAGGAGGCTTTGGTCAGAGCCTTAGCTCTTGCTACCATTACCACTGCTTTCCCAACCTATAAAAATTTCAAGCAAAATGTCCCCGGCAGCCACAATTCCCAAAGGGAGAAATAGAAATGTATTGGCGCTTCCTCCCTTTGGGAATTGTGCCGGGCTTACCTGGCCCATCCCTCAAGTAGTACAAGGTAGGTTCAGTTTTATCTATGTCCACGCACGCTATGTCACGTTGGCCCTCGATGAAACAGTTTAATGTGAATCGCCTATGATCTCTTTTGGTGTTACGTTATAAAAAGCTTGCCGGGCTTTTTGTATCCCCTGTTCTATATACTTTTTTCTCGTCCTCGCTGATAGCAGACTTACGAGACTTGATCGAATCTCTTGTTTCATTTTGTCATATTTTTGTGAGTTCAGAGAGGATTGAGATTTAAACTCCTCCTCCGAGATCTTACTGTCAGTGAGTGCTGTGGAAATCACGCTCACTCACCGCGTGTTCAGCTTTGCTTCGCCAGAACCCTGATTTAAATCAGTGTTTCAATGCTTTTACGATGCAGTCTGCGGGATACAAGCTTAAGCCCCAACCCCAACACCCCCCTGTCACCCCAGCTGTTATTTGAGCCCCATCACTATAGGTGCGGCCACGATGGTAGCTAACAACCCAACACCTGCCACCCCTAGGCCCATGCTGGCTGCCATAAGGGTAGTATCGGTCCGATCCACGGCATTGAAAAGCTCTATGGTACTTCTTATATAGTGCTTTCCGCTTATCCTTGATCTTGTTCTAGTTGGCGTTTTACATCGCGATAACTGTCTCAAGCGAAACCGAACTCCTACGGTTTCCAGGGTCTTCGCTACTTCATCTACCTGGGTACAGTCCCATCCTATAATATATATTACAAAAGATATTTTAATTGGGCATCACTTAATAGTTGGCCAACGTGCCTGAGGCTTATAAAACTTAGATTCTCGCATATGTAGATACGGGGAAGGGTCAATAGGTAACTTCTGGTCTATCTCAACATCATAGCAGTTTATTATGTGGGGTAGTAATCCCTGTTGGGAGTCCCCAATCAGATCAATCGAATCTGCAAGATAAAAAACCTGATGTTAAGGGGTCGTTACCCCAACGTATTATTACACGGGTAAAAGTTCCAAGTTTGGGGATGGGTCAAATTCATCCAAATCAAACTTACCCTTGTGTTTACTTCTCACGATGAGTGTGGAGTTTGTTTCCATACCCTAACCCCTATTATGGAATGATGGTGGTGGGTGGCTATTAACTGGGACTTCCTGGCTGAAATTAACAGGGTGTCCCTAGGCCAATATTCAGAGTTAGAAACTATCATCCTTTCAGTTGGAATGAAAGATGTGAGCAAGGTACCGTTGTTCCTAATTTCAGAGACATAACCATCTTTGTCTAGTGAGATATAAGGTGCGGTGGTGGTCACGTTGATCACCCATTTAGGTTCTTTTAAGACTGCCAGGTTCTGCCGTATGTACACACCGTTGTTAAATAATAGGACGTATGAGTTGTTGTTATGACCATGCTTATCGAATCCCTCCGTGTCCCCTAGATCGTTAAGCGTAGTGTTGGGGTGAAGCCAAGACATTGTTATAATACTATTACGATATAATTTCCAACTAGTGTTCTGGTACTAGTTCAGGGATATAGCTCAACCCCATAATATATTTTAATTGGGTTTCATTTAACCTTTGATTAATGTACTTAAAGCCGACAATACTTAGATTAACGTGCGTGTAAAAAAGCGGGGTCTTAGCTCTAAGTCCATTAAGGAGGCGAACTCCATCAAGGGTTGGTACAGGGTCGTTTCCGATACCTTAATAATACGACAACGTTGGTTATTACACCTGGCTTCCCAACCTATCAGCATATCATCTATAATTTTAATATAGCGCTTCTAGTCAAACTTATATCCCGAGATAGGCGTCTATGAGGAATGTGAAGTTTTCCTCGCGACATTTCTAAAGACCTCTTATTGTCGAGTAATTTGATCTCTGTCTTCACCGTCCACTGGAAGCTAACATGTTGCCGAGTGGTCTGGTATTGGTATGACTTGTACACTAGATTCGGAACGAGCGATCCTATAATCATGCCGTTGTTCCTAATCTCGGAGATAGTATTATTTTTTTTCAAGGAGATATAAGGTGAGGGTGAGGGTTAAGTTGACTAACCATTCAGGCTCTTTAAAATCTGATAACGACACCCGCCTATACGTTGTCTTTCAAGTGTAGGATGTATAAAGGTGCCTTCCTCACCAGGCTGATCGAATCCTCCGTGTCCCTAGATGCGTTAAAGCGTAGTGTTGGGGTGAAGCCAAGACATTGCTATAATACTATTACGAGATAATTTCCAACTGGTTTTCTGATAATAGTTCAGGGGTGCACTTCACCCCATGAAGTGTATGTTTTTCGGGTAGGAATATCTTGGTTAGTGATATAGTGTCTTCCACGACCACGGTGACACCCTGCAGACTGGTTTTGGAGTCGACACCCACCCGCTGCGTAAGCGTTGCAAGCGTGATACTGTTGTTGTTTCCCCACCTCAGTTTGACCCTTCCGCGATCTCGACATCGTCCTGCGATGGTTCCCCTAGGTAGACTTGGATGACCAGTGTTGAGTTCGCCGGTAGACTCTCCAGGATCTTGACCACGCCTTCGAATTCAGACACCAACTGCAATACCACGTTTTGCATGCCTGCTTTACTCGATAGCATGTGGGCTGCCATACTGGCGAGTGGGCTGATGACTTCACGCTTATCGTCTCTGAGTCGGAGCGTAAGCTTGCGAGCAGGATTCCGTTGTTTCTTACTTTTGTTTAGGTGATTGTCTTTGTTATCCGTGAACACATAGGGGAGCCGAGCCTAATGTTGAGAAACCAGTCAGCTTTATCGGGTAATAACACCCACTTGTCATCTTCGGTGAAGACTAGCGTATATGGCTTGTTTTGAGGCGACGGTAGTGCTCTCAACATCGTCTAAGTCGAACAGTTTGCCCCGAGCGATGGGTATATCATCCAGTTATCATCACGGTGTTGACAAGGGTGTACTTAGTGTTGACTGCGCTCGCTCCTGAGGTATCTACCATATCACTTAGATTGCTAGTACCATTGGAGGGACTTCAACGCGTTTGTAAATGCTGTTTTTCAGTTGCAAAGTACAATTTACCATCTACTCCGAGTCAATTGAAATCGGCGTGTGTCCCGAGGTCGGAGATCCCCACATTGATGCATTTTTTCAACTTCATTCCAGGACCAATGGCTGGTCATTTTATGTGCAGCGTTGCGGCTGAGTATCCTATTCATTCAGATTATGATTTATATCTAACACCGATATTATCAGCTCAGGGATGTTGCCCTGGGTTAACCTCTTATACTGCCCGGCGGTGAAAGCTACTTCGGTTCTGCCATCGTTGTATTTCTCCGTTTTCACCGGTCTGACTCTCAGTATAGTGGAAGGGTGACCCCTTGAATGTTGTCCGTTGTGCTCACCTGACTGAGATGAATGCACAGCTCGATGCGGTACTAGGTCGGGTAACCGTGCCTGTGGCGGTAGTCGTTGGTTTTATCTCGTCAGGCTGTATACCGAGTGTCTAAGCCAGTGTGGTCGACCGAGCCTCAAGGAGTTTCTTCCGTTGTTGATTAACACCACTGTACCGTTTGAGTCGTTCATCTTGAGTTAGGCTCCCAGGGGTTTGAAGACCTGCATTAAACCTAGAGAGCACTGCGCTGTAGTAACCGTCAATTATCTTGTTGCTAAGCGCCACCTCACGAACAGTTTATTGTTGCTAAGCGTTGATGTTAGTCCATCGTGGTAGGTAGGTGATATCGCACAGTCGCGACTTCGAGTTGACCCGGCGTGTTATCGATCGCGTCGTCAGCTGAGCGACCTGCGCCGCTCGTTATTCCTGGAAGTGTTATGTACATGTTAGAGTATATAAACTCATTATATAATAGTTTTAAAATGTACTCCCCTGGAGTGTTTTACCCTAAACTGGACGTGAGATTTCCCCACATGAAGATCGGTAGTTGGCTGCGGGTTGTATTTCGACACCCAGTTCATAGATGTGTTCGGTCAGTATAAGTTTTACGGTGACTAACGCTAAGGTAGTTCACAGCTTGGTTCAACAACCC